TCTTCGTGTGCTGGCCAGGTGTAAGCAGTAAATATCAAAGACAGTAGGTTAGGTTGCGAAAAAGCTCGGATTGATTAGACGCTAACATGAATGCTGGCTCAGTGGTCTAGAGGTTTAGCATTCACGCGAAAGACCGAGGTTCTCTTTTTTTATTTGTGTGTAACGGATAAAATGAAAGTCCTATTCTAAGACGAAACGACCGTGCAGAGCTTCCAGGTATTAATTGTGGTATAACAATGATGGATTCATTATTGCAGTGAAAGTTAACAATCTCCATAACTCGATAATAAAAATCTTTTATTTGTTTCATTTATATATATATATATATATATATATATATATATATATTTCATATAATGCAAAATTAGTTAACAAACTATTTTTTCTGAAATCAGCAGGAATGTATGTTGTTTGTTTTTCTTGTTTTATAGTAAATATTTTGTTGTTTTTACATTCATGAAATATTTAAACTCAATAAAATTGTAGACAAAAAATTGTACATGGCTAATTATTATGGAAAAATAAACTTTTTAGATGATATAACAGAGGTACGTTGTATTCAATGATGATATAGTTTAGGATAATAAAATAGAAGTTGTTTTTCTGTTGAAAATTTATTATTAACGCCCAACTGCATTAGGAGGAAAGCACAAACTTGGAACCATCAAGGTCAAAGAAAAAGAGGTTGATAGGGAAACAGACTGCACCTAGAGTTGCAAAAAAGGTATAAAATGAATGAATAGCTATGGGGTAGAACTGGAAACAAAGATCCAGGACAGGTATGGTTGGATAGTGCTGGTCGGTGGCCTGAGTTCTACTAGGTGGCACAGGGGTAAGTAAGCAAGTAATTATATAACTCAAGTGAATAGGATTGTTTGTGATCGAAAGAAAATGACGTTATTAACTGTTGTTTGTCTTCCAATGACTGATTTTCTTCGTTTTGTTTTTGAAAATGAACTCTTTGAAATCTTAGTCATGTAGAACCCAAAAAGCTAAGTATGCTGATTTTTAATCTATGTAATTCTTTGAATAACTGTGCCTGGAGCCCCTCTGAGTTGCTACTGTCGGTCCTAAGTCTGGATTAAGTAGGAAAATTAGGCGTGGAGTTAGCTACCCAATGCCGTGGAAAACTGATTCGCTAAAAAATTCTGACCACAGAAAATAATTCATACAATCTAAACTCTACCCTGTGAGTCAGAAGGTCTTCATTTAGAAGAATTATGTCGTCTCACAATGAAAGCAGTGTTTCTTTAGAGGTCACGATGCCGATGCCCTTTCTGACAACCAGAACAACCAATAATTTGATTATTGTGATTTTGCTTCATTCTAACTGGTGCATCTGAAAGTCACTTAATTTGTAGTGTTTAATACTGTGTCACACCTACATGCGTTACTCTAACTTTCAGAGAGATAAACTAATTAATTCGTCTTTGGTCACTGTCCATAAATGGTCTGACATTGTCAATTATTCGCTTATATCATTGACTGTTTTTATCTGAGAGTATGTATGTGTATCTCTTACTCTATTCTTGTCTGGTTATAAATAGTGAGTCAAGCTTTATCATATTCAGTTGGTACACATATCCTCTCTACTTGGTCTGGTTCTCCTGTTTCTTATTTTGATATCTGCTTACATAAATAATTGCATGAAATAAACTCATTCAACTAAATTTGTATTGGTTTTCTTATTAGTGCAGTCACACGATTGGCAGTTCAATGGAAGATTTATTTTCATGGCAATATTAGTTCAATAATTTGTTCGTTTAATCGTAGGATTTAGTTCATAGGTGACTAAAAACTGTTGGCAGTGCATTCTATTTCATTGCTTAGCATAATGCTAACCGATATACGGTTTGTATGCATTTTCCCTCAATGGTTTATACAGTGATTAATATTTTGATAGCCATGTGGTTTAGTAATCGCAGTACCACTAATTCAAATTCAAGTCTGAAAGTCATTACAAACAGAGACAATTTCTTTCCTAGAATGTTCTGTCTATATATATTTAAAGGAAGAGAAACTATGCACCCAGACAAATTGTGAATGTATTATGATTGCACTTAAATTAACACAAGTTTATTCACAATACATTCTCAACTTGTCGGGGTTCCAGACGGTTGGAACGGCTGCTGATTAGTGAGCTGCTGGGTGGCTCGTTAATCCGTTTGGCGTGCCAGGTCTAGCTGATGAAGCCGGCCTAGCCGATTGGGGATGGTGGGTAGTGGATTGGTTGGAGGGATCTTGTTGACTCATAAGTGCCCGGACGGAGGCCACTGCTCGTGAGCGTGCTTTTTCGACGTCCACTTGTCTGCAAACCAATCCAGATAACATGTGAGTGCCCGTATGGGGCCGGGGTGATTTCAAAACTGGCTTCTTTGAGAACCCTTGTGTTGCTTAAAATGCAGCGGCATGAATGTGCAGCAGGCTTGTTGGTTAACCAAAAATTAATACCCTTACAATCGTCCAGAGGTTAGGCATTCACTCAAAAATCGGATGGTCCTGGGTTCGAACCCTGCAGGGTTCAGGAGTCGTGGAAGAGCACTTCTGTTGTGTCCCATAACAGGATGAATTGACCGTCCAGTGCTTACATGTTTCTAATGGTGATCTAAAAGACATCGATTCATGATATCAAAATGTTACTCAAGAATCTCCACAACCCCATGATGTCGATAAATGTCATTGCCGCAAAAATTTATCGTCAGAGGTAAGCAGAAAACTTAATGTGTTTAATAATAAAGACAAATGTGATGTTGAACACAATGAATACATTAGTGAAATCGTTTTATTTTTTTTTACCTCAGTAGAATATTGTGCAAACAGTACAAATGTAATTCAGTTGCCGATTGACTTAATCAAAGATACTTTTTTGTCTCGAAGTTATATCAACTTTTCGGTAATCGGAAATTAAGTTCGCCCTGGCTTATAGACTTTTTAACACTCTGAACTCATGAGTTACACACTGGACTCAACTCAAAACTTCTCAAAACCTCTTTATGCACGGTGACTTCAAGATATTAAGAAAAACCGTGCTGGAACTTAACAATTGTCCAATTACCCGCCCTTTTAATTTCAGTCCAATCAAAATCGACATAGTTGAAATAATCATGAATTAACAAATTCAGGCATACTTATCTGTTTACTGCTTTTCTGATTATAATAATAATAATTTTGTTTTTAGTAAAATGGCACATAAATTATAGTGAAATAGAAATAGACAGACTGACAGAGAGAGAGAGAGAGCGAAAAATTGACAACCAAAAAATAATCATTGGAAAACAAATGAAAGTATACAACAGCATATACGTACAGTGTATGTAACAAGATTTATCGATCGACGGAAATCAGTAAACAGATACAAAATGTGACAATTCAACATATATCCATTATAATAGAAAAAAAAGTCACTTCATTTCCTTGTTTTGAATTAGCTTCAAACTAATAAATAAATGTTAGTCAGAATTGCATGAACTAAATTAACACATGTAAAGAGAATTTTCTTAAACGGATTTAAAGTTAGCAAAACAAAACAGAAACAAAACCCATGTTGATTCAAAATTTGTTGCATAATTGTTAGTAGTGTTATTAGTAGTATATAATGCCTAAGTGATTATTAAGTAATGTTACATATAATAATAATAGTAAACCATATATGTTTATTAGATTCTGTGTTGGTTTTCCAAGAAAAAAAATCAATTTTGTTTTCGTGTATGTCAGCAAGAATTTGTATTTTAAAAAGTAAATAATACCAACAAGAAGAATTGAAATGTAAAGAGCATGGAAAGTGACTAGTTATTCGCCATTTTGTCTTTTCTTTTATTTAAACAAAGAACTGTTAAAAAAAATTATGATTTAACGCCATGGTTCATACAAACGTATATCACTTTCTAATTGTGCAATTTGTATATCTTTTTCAGCTAATTGTTTACGTAGACGTTGAATTTCTCTTCGTTGTTCAATGAATGCTTCACGTAACTGATCAATGAAAAAAATTTATGAATAAAAAGCAGAATAGATGAGTAAAATAAGTAAAGGAGTTGGGAGATTATGTAATCAACAATTATACATTAGAATGATCGTTGAAATCAATAGTAAACAAATTACTCAAAATGGCTGATGGAGTTATGGTAAGACAGTGTAATACATTCGAAACCTTACTCTACCCACCTTCAGTTTCGATGATCAGGTTGTCTTGATCTCATGCTTGTGTTACTTCTAATTGCTGTCGATTTCTCTCTCTCTATTGAATGTAATTGCATTCTGTATGTTCACGTTTTATCTTGTTATTTTCTCTTACAGATAACCTTACACGCTGCTCTTCTTACACTCTCAGCACATAAGGTACCTCCTGGCTAAACGCAAACTAATCGAAGGCTGAAGTTACTAGAGTAACAATAACAAGATTGATTCAACATAAAGTCTAAACTTCATTATTTCCAGTTGTTATTGTCTCACTCCATTTTATAATCAAACATTGATATACATGATGTTTAATCATTTAGACTGTTGCACCTCACCATTCATTCATTGATTCATTCATTATACTAACTATAATGATTCTGCGAATTGATCAACAGAACACGATCAACACTAAAGACTTGGAAAGTATAAAAATGACATTTGGTTATGAATTAATTTACTAATCCCTAACGTTTTTTTTGATTGACCATCTTTTAGCGTCAGTCAGTGAACAGATCTTTTTAACATCAAAATATAAAGGACATAATACATATTTTCATATGCATGCATAAGTTGCTGACACAAAAATCAAAGCTCCGAATTGATATTTTCAACAGAATCACAAATATCCATATGGAAATAAAGTTTTTTCTTTCTGATGGCTATAACTGTTAGGATATTCATCCAATATCCTAAGAGAATTATTGGTCAATTCCTATTAGTTGATTCCTACCGGTCAATTTTATGGTCGTCCTAGATAACAATGTCACGTGCTCCAATGTTGTTTCTTATTGGTTGTCCTAACTATCAGTGTTACTTCAAATGTTGCTTCCTATTGGACGTCTCTATTGTCAATGTCACAGACTTCGGTGCTGTTTCCTATTCGACCAAAATGTATAAATACGCATTATCTGTAACGTTTTATGACCAGGACGCAGTCCCGGACCCCTAATCCAGGATCCTGATTCTCTTCTGGACTCGGACCTCGTACTTTCTGGATGCTTGTAGAATACAGGTTCTATTTCATATCAAGTCCTCTTATTCTTATTCAATATGGGGGTTAGGATATTCGGATTTGAGTAGCATGTCGTGTCGCAGGATGCTCGATCCTCGCTCTTGTTTTCCAACTAGTTAAACTCGTAATAGTTCAAGCATATCAAAATGACGTGTTTACGCGCAGGCGTAACAATAACCATGTTCTAAAGCATTCCCCTCTAGTAAACACTGATACATTAATTTAAGTGAAATATTATAAACGTATATATATATATATATATATATATATATATATAACTGAAATTTCAACATGTTTCATACCTTTTGATAATCTGTTGGTAAATGACTTAATAGTTCTGATTTTTTCGGTGCAGTTGTTGTCTATAGGAATAAAAAGAAAACAAGGTAAGTTTGTTAGATAAATATCATTATAAGTAGTAATGACCTTTATTTGGAATTAGGTAATAACTCACTAACTAACTTTGTAGTTACGAAAAAAACAATGTTATTTCAAACTTGGCAATGAATTATTATGATATTTTGTAAATGACCTTTCTTGGTTTACAAATAACAAATAACATATTTTTCAAAATATTTATGTTATATAACAGGTGTACATAGTCATCATAATTGAACATGATTACATTCATTAGTGTATGTCTTATATTGTTGATCGTTGTGGAATGAAAAACAAAATTTGATGAAGCATACTTGTCTATGTAAATAGTTTGTTTTTGCTTGAAAATAATTAATTGTAGAATAAAAATTGTTATATTTTTTTTTGATTGAACATTTCAACAATAATATAAGGATTCCTACAAAATATCTATTTGCCCTTAATCAATAAATGTGTAACGGAGTCAAAATCACTATGTATGGTGTTGCTAACCCGTTCGGTTTATTTTCTATTTTAGGGGGATCAAAGTTAAACGCTTTGGAAGCTGAAGAACAAGCCCCGCGTGTTGTGAACTTACAGGATGACTCATAAGACTTTGTTAAACAAGCGATCCCTTTTCTGTAAAAAAAACCCGTGTTATTTAATTTTAAAATAAAGAGTGCCGAAACTACCACTTCGTGTTCTCTCTTGGTGTGGAGTGTTAAGTTAACCTTACGTGTTGTGATTTTAGATCTTATTCGCCCTTCAGTGAATGCTGATTACACGTGTTATACATGTTTAGATAATTGATTTATGTGTCTGGTCGAAAGACTAATGGTGCGGTGATGCCTCTACGTTTAAATCCCGTCTAAATTAGCAAAGATAATTCAGTGAAGTGCAATCTGGCCGTTTTTATGTTAATCCTGTTTAGTACGACAGTGGCTTCAGGTGCAGATACTTGTTACTTATAATATCAATGAATTTTTCCAAGTGTGAGAATAATATATTTTGGAAATATACTGAAACAGTATTAAGTTTAAAAGTATCATGTATGTTATTCAAATATTTTGAATAATCTAGTTATATGTTCAGTTGTATGTGAAAATTAACGAGGTTTAATTACATGAAAGGATCAAGTAATAATCGAATGGTAATAAAAATTAAACGAGTAAATAAAATGTCATAAAAAGTGGTTATCACACAACTGTAGACCTTCAAATACACCGAAAATCACCAAAGAACTTTTAAGGTCATAAGAAATTGTTTCTGTGGCCAAGGCAGATTTGAGTTTTGATGAACTCTTGACAATTTCTCTACAAAGCGTAAAAATACTGTTCTAAAGTAGATCCTATGACCTATTTCAATAATTTTGACAAGGAAATGTTTGGTTTTTAATTTTTGATATTTATCAGTCTGTTTTCCAATAAATAAGCTATGTTATTCATGAATAATTTCTTTCTGTGTACGTGCGTCGACAGATGCAGGTAAATTGATAAATACCATGAGATAAACTGTCATTATTTTATATGTTTAGTCACTTTAGCGCAGTCAGTTTAACAGAAACTGCAAATAGGACATCTACATTGGGGAAAGTACCTAACTGCCTTAAAAGACAAGCCCTCACTTGGAGCCCTGAACGATAAATGAACAGAGCAATGTTAAGAAGCAAATTACGCTGAAAAACGGAGACGTACACGAGAAGAATGAACAAAAATTGGATAGAACTGGAAAGGGAAGCCCAAGACAGAGTAGGTTGGCGAATATTGGTCGGCGGCCCATGCTCCATCGGGGGTAACAGGTGAATGTGAAAAAGTAAGTAAGTTTTCTAGACAATTATCAAATCAAATATCTACAGTTACAGTTGAGATTTAAGTTATCCTAATGATGTGATGTTCAATCCTATACTATGTTTCCAATTTAGCCACATTTTAACGTTGTAATATTGACTGACAGGAATTTGTTATAATTTCAATCATTCAAGCTAGAAGTAAACTATGCTGGTGAGTAGTTTATCAAATTTGAGCGTTTGACAAGCTATACTTAAATGAAATCATGAATAGATCATTGTTATACTATCATCAGAAACATACACGTACTGGACGGTCGTTTTGTTTTATTACGGGACTCATCAGCGGTGTGTGTCTTGAAGTTAAGCATTCGCGCACCAAAGCTGGGTTCAATTATCGCTTGTGGAGGTCATGTATTCACACTGCTGAAGAGTCCGATGCTAAGACAAAACGGCAGTCCAGTTCTTCCAGGTTTCTAATGGCAATCTAGCAATGATCGATTCATGACTTCTGTGAAACTCAACAATTTCCACAAGTCTATAATCAAAGTTAAACTTCACGTAGCTTCACTTCATTTTCAAATAACTATCTTAAGTATTATTAGCCATCCGTCATTGATTTTCAATTTTCGGAAAAAAACCTAACAGCCACTATCTTGAATCTGATTGATGTAACAGATACTCTGAATGATGTCATAATGAATTCTTGAAAATATTTATAATAAGCGACTGTCAAACTAGTCATTATAACTACAAAAAAATCGATTCTATTGAAGGGAAGAAAAATAACAAGTCACATATTTGCACAAATTCATTATTGTGTTATCAGGAAAACTGAAAGACAAATCATAATTTAATTACAGATTGATTATCTAACGAAAAAAATAGAATAATCATTTGTTTATACCTTTCTTTTTGTTCTAAAACAAAAAAAACTAAACTTACATTTCCCAAATCTGTTTGTTTATGCAAAGCATTTGAATCATTTGATAATGGTTCAATTCTTCTAGTGAATGATCCAATAATTGGCTAGAAATGTAAAGTACAAATGAAAAGTGATAATTTTTTTTTCATAAATTTGTTTGTTTTAATGAAGATAATCTATTCGCTTATTGAATCTTATGATCAATATTCAATGGTCAATGTGTTGTGATGTACGTTGTTCAAGATATGAACATGATATGTGTTAACTCCCTGGATGATAGCCTATTTAAGCGAGAAGTTAAGAGTAGAACAGAAAGCCTATTTGACTTCCAAATACTTGCCCATCTACCCTGTTAGAAAATGAATCCATTTCTTGACCAATGATACGCATTCGTCTATAAGACATTTCTGATGACCATCAAATGACCTTGCCACTCGGCAAACTCGGATTGGTTCTGTAGTGTAAAACATTTATGAAACTAAGAGAAATGATGAGTGGTTTATTTGTTCTAGCAGATAGACAACTTAATTAATGCTGCAATTAATCCCTCATATAAAGGCATTTATTTCAATAAATCAATTTTACTTGTGTATGAGAAAATGTTACATAGTGAGATATTTTTTTACTTAAGATAACATTATGTTTAATTGTTTTGATACATAAATGTAAGTATTAATGCATATCTTTTTTTCTTAGTTAAAAAATTTGAATAAAATCAGGTAAAAATGTATTTTAATGGAATATTAGTAGGAATTCAATTATTTTAGTGCAGTTAACGGCTTACAGTTTTAGTAAAAATCATTGTGAAACGAAAACAAACATGCACATATTTTATTTTGGAAAAGTCTTCAATAAGATAAGATTTCACATTTAGACGTTAAACTAGAAAATGACAATTAATTGTGAAAGAACCAAAAATTGTTCTAACAGTGGTTTATTTAAAGGTTAAATGTAAAGATTATTTTAGAAGAGGAAACTGTAAACAGTATGAAAACAAGACTTTTTAAAATTCTAGCCCATAAGGTTGGAATAACTGAGTAATACTTAGGTGAGAATTGCTGAGCAAGTTGAATTAGATGCAGATGTGAAAGTGAGATTCGGCAAAGTAAGGGTAGCATTTCTTCAACTGAAGAATATCTACAATTCAAAACAACTATCAAACTACACGAAAGTCAATACAAATGTCAAGAGATTTCTACTTTTTGCGGCAGAAATTTGGAGAACCATGAAAGACATCATCCACAAGATACAACGGTTTATTAACAGATATTTACGCACAAAATTCGGATCCATTGGTCAAAAACCATCACCAACAGCCAAGTGTGGGAGAGAACAAACCACATTCTAGGGGAGGAGGAAATCAGGAAGAATCGCTGGAAGAGGATAGGACAGATACTGCGGAAAGCAACAAACTGTATCATAAGACAAGCGCTCCTTTGGAACCCTTAAGATCAAAGGAAAAAAGGAAAACTGAAGAACACATTAGATCGAGAGATGGAGACAGACATGAGACGACTGATCAACATATGGATAGAACTAGACAGGAATGACCAGAACCGTGTAGGTTGTAGAATGCTTGTCGGCAGCCTATAATCCATTGAGGGTAACAGGCGTAAGTAAGTAAATAAGTAACTAAGCTAAGAAGTAAGAGACAAGACACTATAATTACTATCATAGCTCCAGTACCACTTAATAAATAAACTGTTTATTGTGGTACTTTATGACAGCTATGTATCGCTTCGTAGAGATCATTAGTAATCATTCTGTTCAAAATTTGAAGACTGTGAATAAGATTTAATTAACTGACTATATTAAACTGTAATGTATCGACACATTTAAGTATAGTGAATATAAATATTAGTGACCTTGAATGTTTTTCAGCTAACAATCAAGAATTATAATAATACAAATTTCAGCAGAATAGGTGTCTAGTAGGTTTGTTTTAAATCCCACTCATTGCAGTCTTACAGTGAACTCTCTAAAGTAAATATATCTAACCTGAAGAAAACAACCGACTAATGCCAATCGATTTCAAGGAGTTCTTTAAATGTTGATGACAATCTTTTTTACAAAATACTGATTAGCTTAAGGAGTGTAATCAGATAATTGTACAAAAACTGATCCTCTTTTTGAAAACAAATTTACTGCCCTCTTTCAATTATCTATTTAAATAAATGTAAAGGTTTTAAAAATAAAGTGGACTTCTAATTTGATTCCTCACATCTACTTTATGTGACATGAAGGAATTGAAGTAATTAGTTCGCCAGACCTAAAGGTCTAAAGTCTAACAGTTTTTTATGGGTAAAGATTTATAAACTCAAAACAAAATCATTCATTTACAGTTGATCGATTACTACGTAGTACTGACCAATCTCATGTCTATTTAGAGACCTGATTTGGACCAAGTTTCTTTTAGTTCAGTTTTCGGTAACTGAATAATGAGCAATCGACTCCTACTCACTGGTATTCGAATCTCACTATGTGAAACCGTTCAAAGTAACAAAATTCTATTGTTTATTAATAATATAGATAATTCCACACAAAGTCTTAATTCCTACAGATTCATACCATTCATTAATCTGATTAAATTTTGAAGACGAGAACTGATGCTATTTTGTTAATAATAATGATTGAATAAGACCGAAGGTCTTCTGTTTGATTCCTGCCACCAGCTAGGTTAGTGGATGCGTCCTGCTGATGAGTTTCGTATGAGGACGAAACGAATGTCCAGTGCTTCCAGGTTTCTAATGTTGGTCTAACACTGATCGATTTTATGATTTGAAAGCAATAATTAGGACTTTATCGTTTTCATTAGGCAAATACAAACTACAATTAGAATAAAATATTTACATTGAATTTGAAGTTATTGAAAAAAATGCCTAACATATATGTTAAGTGCTTTGATAAATACTGTTATATATTCGAAATGTTTCCAAAAATTCTTTTACACTTTCCCTATTTCTATTATTTTAATTATATGATGTACAAATCTACTTGAGTTAGTTATATTTTTAAAATGAAACAACAAATTGTCGATAAATATTTGTGTATTATTTTTGTTCAATTATTATTATTGTTATTATTAATTGAAAACAATTGTTTTTGCCAAAAATAAAAGAATTCACTTCAATCTACAGATATGAAAATAAACATTTTTTGCAAGTTCAGAGATTTTGATGGTCAAAACGCAAATCAACACATTCAGTGTTTATTTATTTTCAAAGAACTTCATATTGTTCATAATGAATAAAGCGAATAGCCAATTGTAGTTTTGTTTTCTATCGAATGGGATAAAATATTTGTCAAGTGGGCGTATTCGTTTAAAAGTGACTGACATGGTTTGATTTTTTGTTTCTTGACACTACTAAATTTATAGATACCCCCGGTCAGAGATTATGTCTCTTATCACCACTGTTCGGTCTTTGTTTAGCAGCCGGTTTTGTCGGGAATCTACTGATAAGCGGAAATTCTTTAAGAAATCAATACCGATTATAGGTATGGATACATTGGCTATGACGAATTCCCAGCGAAGTGAAATGTTCCAACCGAAATTCAAGATAAACTTTCATTTTCCACATGCTTTTATATCAAATCTATTTGCTGCTTTAACTCTGTAATAAAGTATTGATATTTAATGTTTCATCGCCGGCGGGAGGCATGACACTTATTTTTGCTCCGTCCTTTGGTCGTGAACATAAAATAAATGACTGTCTCTAGGAGCCACGCCAGTTGTTTCAGTCGTTACTAGCTACTAGAGGAACCGTTTCCCAGTCGTTTTAATTTACATTTGCATGGCGGTCTACATTTCGTAGCTCGGTTGTCATATATCTGGTGATACCAACATATCGTTGGAGCTGAGCGTCTCCTAGAATGTGGTCGAAATCTGACGATCTTCGTGACCGTCTTTTCATTCTTTTTTTCTAATTTTACACATAAAAATGAGTAAACAGTGAAGGCTCACGACAAAGTAGGTTGGAGAATGCTGCTCGGAAGCCTATGCTTCATTAGGAGGTAACAGCCGTAAGTAAGTAAGTAAGTAATCGTTTAGCATAATATTACCAAATCTGAACTTTTATCATTTTCACTGTAAATTCATCTCCCTAATCCTTCTTATATGCGATGAACATCAAACAAAAATATCGTTAGATAATTTTTGTCCTCATGAAATGAAACTACACACATAAACTATGTGTTTTTTCCCCTCTATTTAAAAAAAACAAAACAACATATTACACTGTAGATAACATGCTAATGTTGTTTCTTTGTTTTCTTTCTAAAAACAAATAATTTCTCCTCTGTAACATGCATAGTGAACATAGATTTATGTAAGTGAACAATTGTTACACACTAATTATTGTCATCCATACATTATTTTCACTGTAAACCATTTGTCCAAACATGTAAGACATACCGATTGTGTACATACAATAATAAATCGATTACTTTTTATATTTTCATTAGAAAAATATATAAGTTGAATGGAATTCTGCGAGTTACGTGAATGAATACAGGAAATCATGATTTATGTTAATGGTTTATTATGTAAACACTTAGAGAAATAAATAACGAAAGTATTTTATGATTTTATCATTTTTAAACGTCCAGAATGGATCCTATCGCACACACACACACACACGCACACACTTTTGTATCAGTTGTTGTAAATAACAAAAAGGCCAAACTCAGCATAAATTCATTACCGTCAGTATCTCATACAACTTACTTTATTCCGTGCAATTCCATGCGGTGGAACTGGAGGTGCTGTGGTTTTCGGTGGATTCGATGCAACAGCTGCATTGAATTTTGCTTGAATCGGTGTGTATTTTTGTGAATTATTACCATAGTTAGCTGTTCTAAGTTGTGGTGCACTTGGTGTACGTTGACTACTACCATACTGACGAAGGATACCACCACCGCCACCACCACTTCGAGCAAACTGACTATCATTAGTGGCATTCACTTTACGTTGTTTTGATGACTGACATTGTGGACCATTTTCTTTTTGATGAATAGAATTATTCCCAGTTGTGGTACCATTGTTAAGACCAAGAGTAAATATATCGGTAGTTGATGTGGCGGCATTCGATTGTGTCATTGCTTCAACTTGACGGATAATTTCTCTTACGGATGGTAGAATATGAGATTCATTGTCATCCTATATATTTTTTTTTGAAATAAAAACAGAATTATGAAATCAAAGGAATGTGTAAATATTGTAGATTGGGAAGCGATCGATATAAACAACTGTTGTAGTATGTGTTCATTTTTGAAAATGCAAACGATTTGTTGACAAAAAAAGCCAAATACATCTACTAATTAGTTAGATTACAGATAAAGGACAAAAGAAATTAATCGGACTGACCATTTATTTCTAATATTCATTAATCAATATATCACTATAACCATATGACGAGTCTCTGATGTTTTAAACAACATTTCACATTGCTATTTGAAATTCAAATTAGGAAAAATGTTGAAGTAAATTTGAATTCTCATGATTCCTTCAGTTATCAACAAGAATATATTGATAAGTTACAAAGGTTGTCAACTGAATACTGAAAGAATTCATTCAGTTATTTTAATCTCAGTGATGTAAGTAGAAAATATCTCAGTAATTCGGTATAAGGAATGCGATTTTTATCATATTGTACAATCAATAACTTTTTACTTTGTCTAATACTCAATAATGGTTCAATGTAATCCCTTAAAAGATATCTAAAATGATAAAAATAGAATGTTTATGAATTATCAAGTAAGCGTGAAGCATGAATGATGTAGGTCATTGACACAAGAAGTGATTTAGAGTATACTCACATGAAACATTTCCTAATATGACTAAGTAGAACGATGAGAGTGATATGTCAATTCTTATATATATGACAGTTTGTTTCACAACATGTAAAAGATATTTTGTAGTTTTTTCGTAATTAAGCTTTTAAGTGTATTCTTCATTAAGTTTGTAGTACCTCCACATGCATTTGAGTTCGCTTAATAGTTAATTTAGTCAAGCATTTTGATTATTTTATTTAACTAAGCCATTCGTGTAGCAATAACCTACATGTACCATTGTGCTTTTATTATTACACATTTGAAATCATCAATCAATCATTGTTAGACCACCAGTAGAAACCTGGAAGCACTGGACGGCTGTTTCGTCCTGGTATGGGACTCATCAGCACAGTCGGTATGACTGAACATTGCATACCGCCTACGTGCATATTCATCCTATTCACTCTAATGTTAATTTCTTAAATAATTCGATGACTCAGGCATTTTCCTTAGTATACATGTATGTACATTTTTATCTTATCGATTCATTCGCCAATTCGCTTGCTTGTTAGCGTGCTTGCCCTTCTCTGTGTGCCTGTGGTCTGCTGATCCATTTGTGGTATGTCGAAATAAACGTATTCAACACTTCGTGTTCACCTGATTTATAAACGGTGAGGCGCTATTTAGTGACGATTGTCTGGACCAGAAAATTACGAAGTCTACGAACACGTTGAATACCGACCGTCATGAAACTATTGATACTTTGCTCGCCACAAAAGGTTATTGTTTTACATTTAAACGTTAAGTAAGAAATGTGAAGGCAGCTTAGGACATTTCTGCACGTGATAAATGAATCAAATAAAGTCAAGTGAGAAATTTAAGTGACTATAATAGACAGAGTGATGATTTCTCACGGAATGATCACCAAACCCGAATGAGGAACACACTGAACATTGGTCAATTTATCAACGGGTTACTGATGTTGTGTTACCTGTATTTATTCAATATGAGTTATTTATCAAAAAAAAATCATTAACGATGCCTGGGGCATCTAATAACCCTGTAGTTCTGTCTGATTGCATCAGTAATCGAATGCAGTTGAATAACATGAAATTGCTTAATGCAGCTCTCACTCATTCTAATGATTTAAAACATTGTTTTAGAAAATAAGTTGAAAATTAATACAATTACTCTAAAAAAAAGAAATAAATTTTCTTTCAATAATTCAAAATTACCTCTTGGCCATTAGTAGAAAATGAATTTATATTGTTATGTTCCACTCTAGACGGTGAAGAACCACGTCGTTGTGTGTTTGTAACATTTAAATTGATTTTTTGAGATTTCGCCACATATGAATTCTTTTCTCCTCCAGTTCCTTGTATCAGATTATTTTCAGAAGCACGAAAACATGTCACTGGACTGATTGTTGGACTTGGACCTGGACTGGGTTGTGCACTTCTACTACGAGCAGGTATTGTCACTGGACCAGGTCGACTACCTGATGTATATATCTGTAAGAATAAAAATTGTTCAAAGATGATTTTACTAGAAATGAAATAAGAGATTCGTTCAAAGACGGACCTTTTTATTTCAATCTTATCTGTTTGTGAAACATTGTATCTTTCTTGTCTAATTATAAAAAAACTGGTGTATGGCTTATGTTGTATAAAGTTTCCCTAAGAACAGTAAATGTGTATACTGTGGACTAAAAGCGTTATAAGTCAATAATACCAATCATACTGATGTATTCCTTCTTGTTATTCCATAATGCTACAAGAAAAACACACTTTTATCAATTGTTCAACACTTACTACCTGTGTTAAATTATTTTTAACTCTGTTCTTATAACTCCAACGGGAGCTCCTCTGGGATTACTGCCCATCCCAAGCCTTGATAAAGAACGAGGGTTGGGCATAGGGATAAAGACCCCACCCCAAAGAAAACTAACTTGTTAATCATCAGTAAGTTCTTTAAAATATAAGATCTGATTAAATGTAAAATCAATTATGCTTGATTAAAAGTAATAAATTAAAATGGAAAACAAGCGAGTATTTTTAGCGAAAATAGAAATTGTTTTTTGAAAAAAAAAAGAAAATTAATATTCATTTTATGGCACTAGAAAATTCTTTTTTTTTTACAGTTCCTGTAAAACATTTTTGTTAACAGCAATTAAAAAAATTTTAAGAAAATATTCATTTTATAGTCTTATTATTATTATCATGTAAATATGAACTGTGGAAATTATCATCAGTTGTTTGGGAACTTTATTAAAATCTAATCGAAGATTAGTTAATATTGAAAACTCTCCTCATCATTAATTAACTAAACACTGTTGGTGAACCATTGAAATCTACTGAGAACAAGATATATACACATAAACTGAACTAAATATTCAGTTGGAATGATTGGTTGTTTGAATTTTTCCAATGATGTGTACAGCGGTGAGTGATCAAGTCTCTTTCGCAAATGTGCATCTTGTGCAAATTACCTCGATATTGTCTTCAAGTTGCTAGTATTACTAGGAGATTTGGGCAGTGACTAAGTGGATAACATAATAGCGTTTTGGGTTGTAAGGTACCGGGTACGAGTCCCGGAGTGAACGTTAAAACGAAAGCCTTCCACCTCACTGCTAACCACTATTTACCTCTGCTAATACATTAAATACTTTTTGTATACCTTTTTGATAAGTTCTAGATAGTGTTTTTGAGTTCTGAAGTGACGTTTTCATTAGTGAATGAGAATCAGTTATTATTCATTTCAGTCGATATTATTCTTTAGGTAGAATTTGAAGATCTTAGATAAATACTGTCAAATCACAAGCAGAAAGAAGCATAAACGTAGCCGTCACATTTCCTATTGTACTTGATTAATAATATCAAGTGATTGAAGTAGGAAATCAATATGTTCTGTTATTTCTTCATGATCTTGATGCTTCGGTTGTCGGAGCATTCACAAATAAAAAGATTTATTCACATTACCATTGCACTCTTATGCTACTCAAAAAAACGTTTATTAAGTGTAGTAATGCTCCGAAATATTATTTCCTTGCGTTCAAAAGTTCGACTATTGATATTTGGTTACCCAGTGAGTTATATGGTTAAGGGATAGTAATCATATTTTCATAGCAAATCTTTTTTTGATTAACGTATGCTTCTTTCTAGTTAGTGTGCTTTTAGCGAGATAGTTTCCTACGGATAGGGTCGCTAGCCTCACGCCCAACCCCCTTCCTGTATTTAGGCTTGGGAGCTACACTCACTCCAGAGGGGTTCCAGGTGGAGTTAAATCTTTTTTATCTCTCCAACTTTAAATGATATCATAGTTTGACTAGTGGCAACAAACTTTTAGTGTGTGTACAACTATGTCGAGCCCACAAGGCTTGTCCTAGTTTTCGGGTAAACTAATTAACATTTTCTATCTGAATCTTCATTGGCATGCCTTTCTATCTTGTCAGTCATTCGATAATATACTTGGTTGTGTTTATTTCAGTGTGCACGTATGCATGCTTACTAGACTTATCTCATGTCTAGCTTAATTTGTCTGAAAATAAATACTAGTCATGTATTATTGCATTGAGTTGGCTAGCTCGCCTTCTCCAATTCGCTTCGCTTTGCTTGTGAGATTTTCATTCTCGTTTGTCTGCTTAAATGAATGCATGAAATAAACTCATCCAACGGAATCCATATTTGGCTTCCGGTTACCGCCGTCGCATAAACGGGATTCGCCTAAATATGATATACGGAAAGTGAAGGGGAGATTTATTTCATAGCATATTTAATTGTTAGTAAATATCGGAGTCAGATCAAGGGCCACTAAAGTAGTAGTGAGCCCTACTTCTAATTCAACGCAACCAATAAAAACTATATTCACTTTCTTATCTCAAAATTATCGAGAATATCTTGCCCATTTCACATATTTCTAAAGAACGATTCACCTGCATTATAACTGTAAGCAATGCAATCATATCAACTGTCAGTATTTCATATCTAGTAAAATTTATTGTAATGGTTGCATATATATAGATATAATTATTTCAACGTCTTATAACTGAACAACTTTTATCGATCAAATAACAGATGCTAATCACACTAAAGCTGTTCAGTGTCTTTGAGCAACCTTTTTCCAATTTATGCCAAATGTAGGATTAGAGAACGAAATCTCTTATAATCCTATTTATGTATTCCTTAAATGTAGTTGACCAGCTGCTAACAAATATTGTCAGTAGTTTATGATTTTTTAAAGAATCATCTTTATTTGATACCTTTTTGTTTTTGATCACCAGTAAATTTCCTGCATTGTCTCTATTTTCAGCTGTTAGCACATTCTACCAAATCATTATTGATTCATTGTTGTGTTTGGTGTTACCCTGTGAACACTATGGTTTCCTTTCTGCCGCTCACGCACAAAAGGACCGAAGGTCCTGGATCCGAATCCTGCGGCGTGCAGGAGTCGTGGATGTGCACTGCTGCCGAGTCCCATACCAGAACGAAACCGCCATCCAGTGCTTCCAGGTTTTGAATGGTGGTCTAACATTGATCGATTCATCGTTTCAAATTTCAAAATCTTTTTCTACAATTACGCATTACAAACAAGCATTTTCCAACTGAAACGAAACAATTTTCAACACGCGCACACACACACACACCATACCTACAACCACGTACAAATTATGTATTTTTAATTGCATAATATTGATTTTCTTCTGACAAATAGTCCTAGAGATTTATAGCAACATATGTTGAAATGTTGTAGCCTGAACACTAAGCCCCTTGAATGAATCATTTCTCTCCTATTATTATCATGATTATCAAGTTATTCTAACACCATTTATTATGGTCTGTTTATTTTCAAATAATTTACATTGGGAATATGACTTTGACAAAACAACAATGAATCATGAATAAGTAAAAGCATAAATATATATACATATATTTACACACAACATGTCGGCCTAGATAATCTCATCATCACTATATTGTAAGATGGTTTTGTTTATTCTAAAAGTGATGGTGGTTGCTGTTGTCGTCATATTTTTTTATGGATCAGTGGTAGAAAAGTATGTTTACATGTATTATTTGGGATAATTTTTTGAAATAATCAATAAGCAGACTAGATGAACTAACTGTGTGACTAATTGGATGTGAATTATTGACCGTTTATGAATTATTAATGGGGCTAATGTGTGATTATCACAGACGATTTATGTTTCATGTATACAATATAAAAAAAAACTAAAATTAAATGACAAATATATTAATGTTGAGAATGTCACATGAAAGTGGATAAAGCCACTATCATTATTATTATGATTATTATTATTATTATTATTATTATTACACATTGTTTAATTTGGTGTAGTGCAAATATTGTAGATCAGTGTGTATTGCGAATCATTGCACACTAGAACTACAGTAGTATGATTTAGTGTGATCAATATGAAGATGACGAAATGCGATTTGAAAAGGTCATTGAAAACTTTTATTATAGACTAAACTAATTGCCTTACTCTCCTTCTTTATCAAGGAGTTGCATGTTAAATGTCAATTATAACTATTAACTTGAGATTGTGGTAATGCAAATAACCAATCTGGTGAATAATCGGTAATTGTCGAGATAAATTCGATAAAGTTACAAATGAATATACAGACAAAGTCACATATCTCAAGGTCATGAGTGGGTAATTGGTATGGTCAAACGTTTGAATGACAGGATTAGAACAAATTTCTGTGTGAAATTTAAGATGAATCACATGGGCCTGTAAGAAGAGACGAAATTATGAACCAATAAAGTTGAATGTAGTGAAAAAATAAATGTTCAATATTTGAATGATTTTAAAGATTATTCTATGAATATTGTGAAGGAAATAAAAAACCTGACTTAACCAATTTTGTATCCACTACCCACATTTATCCTCATCCATTAAAATCTGATAGGAAATCACTTAGATAGTAGAGGAAATTTGTAGCTCACGTGAATGATTATGGTAAAGTATCATTCTTTGAGTTAGATGGTTTGTTGTAGAGATTTTATTGTTCCTCTGAACAACATCATCAGCATAAAATTCAGATAGAAGTGAAGTATTCAAATTTGTTCACATCTGATCTATAGCTTGTTTTGTTAGCCTCATTCAATAACAACCAATGAAGAACGAGCTTAACACAACAAGCTCCAGTTCAGACGTAGAGTAATTCGAATGCTTCACTTCTATCTGAACTTTGTGCTGATGATGTTGTTTAAAAGAAGAACAATGAAAGCTCCACAACCAAAACATTCAGCTCAGAGAAGAAAACTTCACCACAATAACTATTATCTTCTCTATTGAGAAATCTAACCAAAAAAAATTAGGTGTCATTTAAATTCACTGAAACTATTGAATGTTTTTACCGACAACTACTATATGAATAAAACTGTACACAAGTAATCACGTTCATTTACTTCCATATGACAGTCGATTTTGATTCCGTCAATGAAACGTGAGGTATTCTACATCGAATGGAGAACTAGTAACACTCTC